AAAGAACCAGCCAGTTAGAGTTGGAGTGAGCGAACGACACTGTTGGTTGTTATTTCCTCTGAGAAGATGGAAAAATAAGACGGGAGGTGAAGAAGAGAAGAGGAAGAAAAAGAAAGAAAACTGAAAGAAAAAATGAAAGAAGCAATGAATAAGAAAGAAAGGAACAAAAAAAGAACGAAAGACACAGATAAAGGAGTAGCAACCTGATAAATACCGGAAAGAATATTCGAACCTAAACACCAAAATGAGTAGTTTGAAATTGTTGAAGTGAAATAGAGTTGATGAAAGCAATATATTACATGAGGTTTATAATTTTATCCAACAGTCAAGTGAGAGAGTTGTCTTGAGATATGGAGAATTTTGTACCTTGTAAGTGAGAAAAGACACCACAAAGTTAGAGCTGGGAAAACAGGCTGAGACACCACAAAGTTAGAGCTGGGAAAACAGGCTGAGTCTGTTAGGCCCAGCCTGTTTAAGTCAAGAGCCGAGCTTGTATTTTGGAGTATTGTTGAAGTGAAATAGAGTTGATGAAAGCAATATATTACATGAGGTTTATGATTTTATCCAACAGTCAAGTGAGAGAGTTGTCTTGAGATATGGAGAATTTTGTACCTTGTAAGTAAGAAAGACACCATAAAGTTAGAACTAGGAAAACAGGCTGAGTCCGTCAGGCTGAGCTTGTTTAAGTCAAGAGTCGAGTTTATATTTTGGAGTCTTGAAAAGGAAGTTGGGCTTAAAAAAACCTACCCTGTAGGGTCGAAAAATAAACGGGCCGGCCTGCCAGCCAACAATTTCTTTTTTCTAATTTCTATATTTTTTTCTTAACTTAAACAATGAAACCCTAACATTTTACAAGCAACAAACTCTCAGTTTCACTCAGCCTAACAACTCACATAGACATCATTCACAAAGAAAAGAGAATCACTATAGTTGTTGGGAAAATAACAAAAAAAATGTGGGAATTACAACATTTAAAATTAGGTATATTCACAAAAATGTATTGTTATTTATAAGTTGTCAAAATCTATTAAAATATTGTATGTATAATTTTTACAGTCTTTATTTTTCATTCTCCCATATTTTTTCATGTTTGAAATAGAATTGATTAAAGAAACTTTTGAATTAAAATAAAATCTATATCATTTTTATAGTTAGAAACGAATTTAGAACTAGGGTAGATGGACTTTTTTTTTTTGCCAATAGAATGAATGATTATTCTTTATGTATACTATATTTATTAGTTAAACTTTTTTGTTAATTAGTTATAACTAAACCAGATCATCCACATTATAATTATTTACTGAACTTAGTACTTATTTAGTTATTTATGTTTGTCTTCTATTTAGTTTGTTTATTTAATAGACTCTATTGCACTGTGATCGGTGTTTAGATACGATGATGTTTATGTTTGTGACTTAATTTTATTTATATTTATACATTTTATTGGTAATATTACTGTATTATTTTTATTATTTTGATAAAATATGCGAAAAATTAAAAAATTGCACTTTAGTTAAACGAGCCAAAAGCCTACGAGCTGACCCTAAACCCGTCATCTTAAAGAATGGGCCTAAGAAAATTGGATATTTCTAAGACTCGGCTTAAACGGGTCAGCCTGTTTAGGCCCGAGCTCATGATGGGTTGGCCCATTTAGGCTTGAGCTTGTGACGAGCCCTGACTCAACCTGTTTCCCAATGCTACATGAAGTAGAGGTAGGAATATGGATGGTCTGATCCTCTAAGGCCGACAAGCTTAAAAAGGTAGCCCTATAAAGCCAAAATTTTAAAAATTTTCCAATTTACTAGGTTCGGCCTTTAGGCTGACAAGCTTAGGGCATGCCCATAGGCTATTGACTTGTTTGAAAAAATGTTGTTTTTCATATTTCTCATTTTTTTTCAAAAAATAAAAACAAACCAATGAAATTATTAATAAGAGATATAAATGTGAATAAAATTAAGTCAAAAATACAAAATATCATCATATCTAAATATTAGGGCTAAACACAAAAGCCGGTAACCTGATAAACCCGATCTGGCCCGAATCTACCCGCTTAAGCCCCCCAAAAAGGGAAAAAGCTTGATAAAAATCAGGTCAAATTGAGTCTGACCCAAAGACCGGGTAGGACTGGGTTCCGGGTAAGTATGCTAGACTGGTTAACCCAATCCTACCCGGTGATACATATTATTTTTTTAATATATATATTAGACATCATATTGATTTTTAAAAAAAAAAAGGAAAAAGAAACAAAAAGCCCAAGCCCCAGAGAATGACACCACGAATTGATAGAGGGTTAGTACCACCATCCTCAAAACCCAATATGATTTGAAACTCAATTCAAACCCTAAGCATTATGTTTTTAGCGCCTTCTCTCTTCCTCCTCCCACTCCCACTTCCTTTTCTCACTTCCCTTCTCCGTTCCTCCTCCTATTTCCCTTCGCTCTTCGGTGCTTTTGATCCTTTCACTTCCCTTCTCTCTTCCTCCTCCCACTTCCCTTTCTCTTCGATCTACTGCTCAAATGCTCAATACTTCCCTTCATTGTTGCAGACTTGCAACCCCCTTCTCTGGCCTCTTCGTCATCTTTAAATATTTGTCCTGAAGCTTGTTATTGTCCTGCTGTATTTTATTCTTACCAATGTGATGTAAAACAGTTATGGTGATAAACAAAATAGAGTCCTGTCTCCTCTAATTCTAATTTCTATGTTTTAATCAGTCTTCTTGAGATCTTGAGTGGTGATTTTTCATCATGAATATATTTCTTTTCCAATTCTTTATATATGTATGTATTTTTACTCTTCATACTACATCGTCACACTCATTTTTCTAACCCAACTGGATCATTAACCTTTGGTTGGAAAAAAAAAAAAGAAACTGGACCATTAGCCCGGTCCAATCCGATTGGTCTGCCCAACCCGATGGGTAGCGGGTTTTCCACCGGGTTGGATCAGTCTTAAGGCTAAAATGGCCAGCCTGAAGACCAAACTGGACCAGACCATGAGCTAATGTCCTGCTCGGCCTGGCCTGGTCTATGTTCAATCCTACTAAATATCCATCAACATCTAAGATATCTAAAACATCAATCAATAAGACAATAACATTCAAAAATTTCATCAATAGTGTAAATATGCAATAAACAAATACTATCATTAATTTTTTTGAAATATTATCATCACTATAATCAATTGTTCTTTTTTTGAAGAAAAAATATAAATTTTTTTTCTTTATAGGAATTTCACTTTTAAATTTTACATTCTAGCTATTATTTTAATTTAGTTTGAGAAACATTGTTATTAAAACTCATAAATTTTTAATTCAAATTATCAAATCACAAGTTATATAACAATACTCTTTGTCAAATATATATAGTTTAAAGATATCAATACATATAATATAAATCAAATTATTATAAAATCCAAATTAACTCATCATTTTTAAAATTTAATTGGATAAATTATTATTTAAAACTAAATAAATCAAACCATCATGTGAAATTTAATTTTAAAATGATAATAATAACTAAATATTCAAAATATTATTAATGATGTAAAAAAAAATAATACTTAAATTACACAAAAATATTTTTAAAAAACAAAAAAATTATAAAAAAAACTTAGCCCGTTTAAGCCCTCGGCTCTATAAGGCCAATCTTTTTAAACTCATTTCCCATTTGAAGGAAAAAATTTGAAGCTTAGCCCTCTTTTTTTTTTTTTTTGGGTAGACGTGACCCATTTTTCTAGCTCTATCATAAAGCGGAAGCTGTGCACATTCTTAATTTCTTAATAGGTTTTTAGGGAAGACCATGGTACATAACAAAATATGAAAGTTATTTCTGTGCATTTTTCTGTTTATAACTTTTACAATAATTATTGACGACTTATTATTTATCTTCTCTGGATGTTTAAGTTATAAATTAATTTATTACAAAAATTTAAAGTGTTTTAAAAAGAAAAATAGATGTTATTATTATAACAAAATGAAAAAAAAGCTATCAAAATTTAGAAATTTTTTTTGTATATTTGTATTATTATGCTTCTAACTATTAATTTGTATAGTGGAATTATAATTCTGAAATTCGACTTATTGTGTATATATTTGTTATACATTATATATGTGTATGATTGTGTATATATAAATATATATTAATTTTTATTAAATTTTTATTTAATTATTATGTTACCAATTGGTCCGGATTGGATTATGAGAACCATAAACCAATATCCGATTCGGCTTTTAAAACACTATATTAAACATAATTTTGAAATCTCAATACCAATATCAATTCATCAAAATTTTGATAGAGTGTGACGTATTTTTTTCGTATAGTACTTTGTATTGTAAAATAATTTTTAGTATATTCAATTTCTTAAAGTATTTTTTTAACAACACTTAGTATCATAAGTATTAGAAAAATACTTAAGAGTAAAATACATAAAAAAGAATTGAGTGCTATTGAAGAAATATTTTATATTGCTAAATAAACTACAAATTAGTTTAAGATAGGGGAAATCACAAATAAAGACCCTCGAATTAGCAAAATCACTCTATGGTCACCTGAATATGCCAAATTACCATGAGGGACCCGGTCTCAAATTGCAAATAGCAAATGTTGGTGAAAAGACGAAATTGCCCCTCAGTCAATCAGATTCATTAATGAAGGCTGAGACAAACAATGTGATCGTGGAGAGCTTGGAGGAGAAGATTGGTGGTGCACATGGTTGAGAATCAAGTAAGTAATGCTTGTAATGTTTCTAAGTATACTCTTCTTCTTCTCTACCCTGTAAGACCGAGGAATGTGATGTTGTTCTTGAATGTGGTGAGTGGCATTGTGGGTTGTTGGGTGATAGGTATGGAGGGAGTGAGCGGTGGAGTTGATCATGGAATAATACTGTTTAAGGAGGGTTCGGTTGGGTTGAGATTCAAAATATTAGTCTTTGTAGTCAGATTGTTGACCTATGATTTTCATGACGCAGGTTGCCACTGATCTCTGTTAGGAATATCACGAATGGGAGAGTGGGGGAGGGGAAATGGAAGGAGGTAATAATTATTAGTTTGAGTATGAAGTTTACGGTGGTGCAGTGGGGGGAGAGGAGTAAAGATCTTGTCATTTAGAATGTCCAACTTGTAAAACCCTAATGTCAAGTGGGGAAGAGAAGAGTTAGTTGGTCTTGATTTGTAAATGCAAATTTGATTGAATAAAAGTATAGTGAAGCTGATATATTTTTTTATATGTAAATTGTTGTTCCAGGTTAGGATGACAAAATGAACTGTACAATGGGTCAAGCTGTTGGAAGGAATTGTTTTGTTTTTTCCATGTTGGTGGGTATTTTGAAAGAAACAGTGAAGGTGAAGTTAAATACGGTGGAGGGAGTGTGAGAGCAAGCAGCATAAAAGAAGGGATAACACTGGAGGAATTAAGAGGAACAATATCACAGTTGGTACACAATGATGCTAAAGGGTGCGAAATTAAGTACACGGTTAAGTTTGCTGAGGGCACACTGGTTGATCTTTATGATGAAGGTGATATTTGCAATATGTTTAGATATAACGATAGCAGTGCTCATTTGTATGTAGCAGCGAAAGGGAACCAGAAGGAAGGTGGAGCAGTGAATGATGGAGAAATGTAAGTGGTTAAAGTTTTGCAGTTAATAGTTATTGTTCGGTAATGGATTATTGTTAATACCCAAAGAAATGTTGTTATCATGTGCACTGCGCAGCAGTAGAAAGTTGTTATTTGGTAATGAATTGTTGTTAATTTAGATATAAATCTTGTAATTAAGGTAATGAAGTTGCGGTTGGAAGTTGTAATTTGGTAATGAGTTGTTGCTAATTTCCATTCAAATGTTGTTATATTGCTTAGTTTGTTACAGTAGTAAGTTGTTATTTTATAATGAATTGTTGATATTTCCCATATAAATCTTGTTATTATGCTAACTTTGTTACAGTAGAATGTTGTTATTTCCTAATGTGTTGTTGCTAATTTCTATTCGAATGTTGTTATTATGGGTGTAGGGGTGAGAATTTGTTTGGGCTGTCGGGAGAAATGACTGAAGGTGTGGTGAACCTTGGTGATAACTATGAACCACTCATTGTTGACTATGGTGCTGAATGCCTAACGTATGAAGGAGGGGGTTTAAGTCAGACAAACTTCAGTGACGGTTCAGGGAGTGAAGGGACATTGAGGGGTAATTTGAATTGCATGAAATGGGTTGGAGTTTTTGCAGGAGTGGGGCAATATATTCCACATGCCCAAGCTTTTAGGGAGGCTGTGTACAGGTTAGTATTGCACAAAAGTTTGCAACGACATATGTGAGAAACAGTAGGGAGAAGATGAATGTGAGGTGTAAAGTGGAAGGGTGTCCATGGAAGATTTGTGCAAATGCTGTTGGGAGGGATACTCTTTTATTACGCGTGACCACATTCGTTAATGAACACATTCATTCAGCGCAAGATAACCTAGATGTCACTTTTGCTGGCAATGCTGCGTTGACGTCATCAATAATACTTGAGGAGATAAGGAACCACACCGAAAAGCGTCCTACTGAAATAAGGAAGACACTGGAAAGGGAATATGGTGTGAGGCTAACATATGCTCAAGCTTACAGAGCAAAGGAAAAGGCCATGGAACACATACATGGGAAACCGGAAGAATCCTATATGTTCATACCATGGATATGCCAAAGATTAAAGGAAACTGATGATAAAACAGTTGCTGAATGGGCTTCCATTGGTAATACATTTGAGCGGGTTTTCATTGCATATGGTTCGTGTATTGAGGGTTTTTTGAGTGGTGCAAGGGCTATATTATATGTTGATGGAACTCATTTAAGTGGTCCATATAAGGGGACACTACTCTCAGCGTCGGGATATGATGCAGATAATGACTTGTTGCCTTTTGCAATAGCAGTGGTGAAATCAGAGAACCTTGATGACTGGACTTGGTTTCTGTTCAAAATTAAAGAAATTGTTGGTTTGGTGCAGGTGACGATTGTGTCAGACCGACACAATGCCATAATAGGAGCTGTCCAAGCAATATTTGGAGGTGAAAGACATGCGTATTGTTATAGGCATGTGAAGGAAAACTTCAGCGCTGAACAAGTGAAAGTAAACAGAGGTAAAAGGACAAGCCAATGGTCAAAAGAAGATGCATTAAAGGTTCTTGATAGAGTAGCTTATGCAAGGGTTGATAGTGACTTTGATAATGCAATGGCAGAGCTGAGAACTATGTCTCCTGAGTTACATGATTGGGTTATCAATCAAGGTGATGTGAATAGGTGGGCAATGAGCAAGTTTCCATTTAAAAGATGGGACAATATAACAACCAATATAGCTGAGTCTTTCAATTCTTGGATGGTGAAGGAGAGAAAGTATAATGTGGCGCAAATGATCCATGAGCATCGGGAGAAAGTAGCAAGGAAGATGCATGCATCATATATGTGTATGAGTAAGTGGAGGAATTGTGTTGGGCCAAAAACCGAGGCAAAGGTTCTGGAGAATGTGTATTTCAATAGGTATATGAGCTGTGACAATTATGGAGGCGGAAGACTGTGTGTACATACATCTCGTGGAGATCAAAGAGTAGACCTTGGTCTACACCAATGTAGTTGTCTTGGTTGGCAAATGTCAGGAATTCCATGCTGCCATGCTTGTGCAGCCATTAAGACTGTGGGGGGAAATGTATATGAATATGTTGAAGATTGTTACAAAATTTCAGCACAGGAGAAAATATATGGCAGGAGCATGGTTCCAGTGGTAACAATCGATATGCCTAACCCAAATGACTATATGTTTGAGAATCTTGCTGAACAAACCCTGCTTTTACCACCAAATACAAGTAGGCCTCCTGGAAGACCAAGGACTAAACGGCAGGAATCACAATTCCAGAACAAAAAAGTCTACCATTGCACCAGATGCCACCAACCTGGACACACAAGGAGGAGTTGCAAAAATCCCAACCCATTTTGAAGTTCATTTCTACAAGCGACAACTAATTTTTTGGTGTATATACGCTCCACTCTTCTTAATTTTTTTGGAGAAGGGTGTTGCTAGTTGCATAGCTACACAGCTATTTTTGCAAGTAATATGTTTGCTGACAAGGAAAAAAGAAGTCAACGACGTTGTTAATGTCTTTTTGTTATTGACTATTGCAAAATTTGGTTGTTGTAAACGGACCTCTTACTTTTTGCTAAATGACATTGTATTGCTGTAAATTCCCTTGCTTGTATTGTAAATGCAGACTACTTACTTGTTATATCAGCAAATAGAGGTTGCTGTCAAACCACCTGCGCTTTGTGGTTATTTGGCATACTGATATTGCCAATTGGTTAACAAACTTGTTATTTCGCAAAGTGAAGTTGTCACTGGTAAACAAAAGTGGAAAGGCTGTCATTTAAACAGAAAAAATGAACTTCGCCAATTCCACTTCCGAAGTTGTTATTTCGCAAAGTGAAGTTGTCACTGGTAAACAAAAGTGGAAAGCCTGTCATTTAAACAGGAAAAAAATGAACTTCGCCGATTCCACTTCCGAAGTTGTTATTTCGCAAAGTGAAGTTGTCACTGGGTAAACAAAAGTGGAAAGCCTGTCATTTAAACAGGAAAAAAATGAACTTCGCCGCTTCCACTTCCGAAGTTGTTATTTCGCTAAGTGAAGTTGTCACTGGGTAAACAAAAGTGGAAAGCCTGTCATTTAAACAGGAAAAAAATGAACTTCGCCGCTTCCACTTCCGAAGTTGTTATTTCGCTAAGTGAAGTTGTCACTGGGTAAACAAAAGTGGAAAGGCTGTCATTTAAACAGGAAAAAAATGAACTTCGCCGCTTCCACTTCCGAAGTTGTTATTTCGCAAAGTGAAGTTGTCACTCGTCAAACAATAGTAGAAATACTGTAACTTCATTCGAAAAAATTGAAGTTCATGTATCGCTTAACCGGAGTTGTTATTTAGCATACTGAAGTTGTCAGATGTTAAACAAAAGTGGAAATAGTGTCATTTCATAAAAAAAAAAAGGTACTTCATATATTGCTTAATGGACTTGTTAATTGGCATATTGATGTTGTCATACGTTAAAGAAAAGTGGAAATAGCATCACTTGAACACAATTTCAATGATGTCAATAAAAATGTCATTTCACCATTACTAATTGTCATAACTGGGTAGCAGTTAGGCCAGACAACAAGTTCACTACACATAATGATAACGCAGTAACATTATCTACAGTCAATGTCCTTCATGGCCCAAATTCTTTTTCTATAGGGACTTTCTCCTCCTTTTGGACGTTCGCCCCTTCTGTGGATGTGGAATAAGATTCAGCGCATCCTCACGGCATTCATTGTTATCATGGTTCACCAGCCACCACATTAGATCACGCCGAAAAGCTGCCACATCTCCCTGCAAAACAGATTCAACAGCAAGTTAATCTTACTTTGCCCCTTTACCAGTCACAACAATTAAGCAAACCACATCACCTGGGTGTATTCTAGTGGAACATTGGGTTCCCATCTGCTGAGCCATATTAGGACATGCACCCCACAGTCCCTCCTAGGAACAACACCACCATCACAGTTTAACAATTCGAGAATAAATATAGGAAATCAGCAAATTACATGTGCAGTGTATGTATACTCACAAATTACTCTGTTGAGGTACATCAGGCCGCACAATTTCCAAATTTGGCATTTTCTCAGTCAAATCTGGCCTAACCATGCCAATAATGTCGTGGAACCTTTCTCTCTACACATATATCAGATATTCATCAACATCACTATAATTTCAGACAATAATAATACAATGTAATATGCCCAGGTGATTCTTACACATCCTGCTATGGCCATTTCCTGAGGGTCATAGGTGACTGCTTGCTTCTTCTTAGTTGTGGTCTTCTTAGACTGAACAGTTCCTCGCATGGAATCCAGGACATAGAACTTCATGGTGTTGGGTTCAAGGGCAAAGCAAAACCAGTGCTCACCAACAAGTGCAGGACCCATAACCAAGTCACAGTCACCTATGTTGTACCCGACAAATTGAGGAATTATTTGTCGTGCATGGTAGTTAGGGTCCCACCGAGCTGGGTCACGGATCATTAACTCCTAATAAAGAACACAAATTGATTTTGTCAGTTTGCAATTAGTTTCTTTAGACGGTTATTTGCCTTAACAGTGTTGTTACTTTATATACTACACTTGTCATTTGCCTTTGAGGACTTGTAATTTTCATATACAAACTTATCATTTCACAAACTAATGAAGAAACCTCACCATGAAGTCCGCATAAAAAATATGCCTCCTTACACGCCCTTCCACAGCCTGTTGCTCATCCACCACGGCCTTACAAACTAATGACATGACCCTGTTACTAACTCTGTTATTTCCCCCAAGAGAATGCAGCAAGCGTCGGGTAATATCTTCATCATACATTTTAATCAAAGGACTGACAATGGTTGAAGTGAGTTAGCATATGGGTTATGTTAACAAGTGATAACAAAACCCCATCACAAAAGCTGAGTATCACAATACTTACTAGTCGCCTTCATCACCTTTCACACTTCGGCTGACAATGGTGAAGAAAATGTCTTTATCCTCTGCAGGCCTCTTCAACCTTGTTTGTGCCTTCAACTCCAACCAAGGAGACTTAATTTTGTTGAAGCGAACCCTGCTAGATCTCCTTACTTGTTGTGCCTGCACACCTTCAGCTGCTGTCAAAGGTTCCACCCTGATGGGGGTTTGCCTCTCAACAGGGTCAACATATTTGACAATTGCTAGGGGGGATATAGTGACGGCTCTGTCACCCTCCGCATCATCACCTTCAACATTAGATGACAGGTTTATGGGGGTAGTAGGCGTGGGTATGTCACCCTCCATTTCATCATTGTCCTTCTGTGCACTCTGTCCCTCATCCTTGTCCTGACTATCTTCATCATTCTCTCCATCATCCTTTTCCTTGCCTTCCTCCTCACTTGTCCCATCATCACTCCCCCTGTCACCTTTCTCCTTGTCCTCCTCCTCCTCCTCCTCTCTTGTCTCATCATCACTCCCCTCGTCATCTTTCTCCTTCTCCTCACTACTCTCACCATCACTCCCTCCATCATTCTTCTGCACAGCTTCACTAGTCTCACCAGCATGCTGTCTCTCCTCTTCATCGTCATCTTCAGACCCACTAACAATTGATGCGAGTGTCTCAGCAGGAGCCTTTCCTTTTCTCTTCCCATCTGCCTCTCTTGGAATGTGCACCTTCAACAGCTCCTCATCTACCATATTCATCAGCCTCTGATGGCTTTCTTCTATCCTCTTCATTAATCGTGCACGCAACTGCTTCAGCTCCTGCATGACAATGGCGTTTATCAATTTACTAGCAACATAATTATACCACATCATGATCTCACTATTGCAGATGACAAGCTCACTTTACCCAATGACAAGTTAAATATTATAAATAACAACTTCAGTATATGAAATTACAAGCTTACTACACTATAACAAATTACAACCTCTCCCTATTGCGAATAACAAGTTCATCAGTAGTATAAATAACAACTTTGGTATGTCAGATAACAACTTTACTATATCAAATGACTAGTTCAGTTTAGCCAATCACAACTAATAAATTATAATTAGCAACTTCGATACATCAAATAACAACTACATTGTAACAAATGACAGGTTCACTTGACCCCATCACAACTCAGGCATAATCAATAACAACTTTATCAAATAACAACCCAAACCTGAACTTTACCGAATGACAAGTTCACATTACCCAATCACAACTTTGGTACCGTTTTTAACAGGTTAAGTTTATCAAGTAACAATGTCAACTATAACAAATGACAACTTCACTAAACCTAATCACAACATAAGTTTTATATATACCAAGTCAATTTATCAAATGACAACGTAACTATCACAAACAAGAAGTTCACCAAGAATATCACTCTACCAAAGATATACATACCGGGTCCAGAGAATCAACATTTATCCTCTCGTCTTTGCCAGACACAACATCACTCCCTTTCTCACCATACAACAGCCCCCTAACGCTCTTCCTCTCAGTATTTGCCAATTCTTTGATCTTCTCATCTGTCCAGTATTGGATAGCACTGGTGGAGCCTCGCTGTGAACCTTGAATGAGGTTAAAATGCTCACCAAAAAAAGCTGCAACACCACATATCATCACCAATTGCATTGTTCATATTGCCAATAAAGTATTGCACAGTGAGAAACAAAATAGTCATACCAGAAGCAAGTATACGCAGCCACCAACAGTACTGCTCCCCTGCCCATCATTACCCTGTCTATACAACTTCACAAAGTCAGCCATTTCTTTCCATAGGTCCTCCATAACATGTGTTGCCCAATCATACTTTCCAAAGTCATCCATCGTGGAACGCATGACTCTCACCAGCCTCTCACTCACTTCTGAGCTAGATGACGGACATAGAAAGGTACCCAGCGTGTATAGGATAAACAAGAATTCAAATCTGTGATCTTCCTCCCCAGAAATAATGTCATCTAGTATTTTGCTGAATGGCACTCTCCGATACTGATTCTTCAAGTTCTTGTACATTTCATCATCCTCTGAAACTTCAATTTTAATCTTCTCCCCACCATGGCGTATTCCTAGGAGCTTGTCAACATGTTTTGCTCCTATTTCCTCAGTTTTCCCCCGTATTGTAAATTGATGTGTTGGTGGGTCATATGATCTTAGCATAGTCACAATGAGATCGCGGGGAAGTCTCTTCAATCCAACCTTCAACAAGCTTCCAAATCCTATCCTCTCCACCCTATCCCTTAACTCATCATTATTATTCACAAAGTGCAGTAATTTCTTAAAACCTTTCAAGGACACTCGGGTTAAAAATGATGGTACATATTCTTGTTCTTCTCCTCTTCAATCTTTTCTGACCTTCTTTTCTTCGCCTCCTCTGTGTACCTCTTCCTCTCCTCATCAGACAAAGCTCTCCATGCCTTTGACACAGCGTCTCTTTTTTGTTTGCCTCTGATATCACTATCACCTAATGTTGCCAAATACTCCCTTCTGAATAGCAACCAGCCATTGTGTGCCGGCTTTGATCCGGAGGCTCCCTCAGATGCCATGTCCTTTTTCCTGCAAAATATTCAACATAATAGTTCACTAACACAACTTATTAACTGACTAACAACAATTCTGTCAATACTCGTTCTGTCAATCAAACGCCTATGATAAACTTGTTATTCTCTCTATAAAAGTTGTCAATTCTTTAAGCTCAACTTGTTATTCCCACATACTTATCATAATTGTTATTTTTGATCATACACTAGTAGTTTAACTTGTCATTTGAAATGATAAACTTGTCTTATTGTCATACTCAGCTTTGTTATTCAAACAAGTCATTTCCTATTATCAAATTCTTACTTCCGCATACAAATCTTGTTATTCACTATTATAACCTTGTTATTTCCCATTACCAACTTGTCAGTTTCGCATTGACATCTTCTTATTCCCAATTAATCAACTTGTCATTTCCTATTCTTAAATTATCATTTTCGTTACAGAACTTGTCAAATCCCACCGTCCACCTTCTCATTTATAACAAAACACACTTAGTACCTCTTCAATTCAATTTACCCTTGACTATATCCTATGTCGTTATTTTCCCTACTATTATTGTCATCTACGAAACTGATATTGTCATTCCCTCCCCACATAAATACCATTCCCACAGGTTATTTAACAGAAAAAACCTATATTTTTCACAGTAAAACATTCTTCATCACTCAATCAAAATTTGGGTACTTCTACTTTCCTACCCTAAACTCTTTTACTCTCACCAATCATTCGCACATTCTTGCAGCAACCAATCCAAACAAAATTAGCCAACAAACTTACTACAATCAGTCGCCCAACGTAGCTGCTAACTCTGATCACCTAAAGCGATTGCTGCCGCACTGTTCAACGATGCCTTCGACTTCTCTGAACCCTTCCACAATGCCGATAAACCACTGCTTTGTTCACCTCTGTCACAGCAAATATGCTCTTCACCGTCTCAACACTCCTCTCCACACTACTCTTACGGCAAAATGGCAGTACGCAGGTGCGCGAAAATGGAGACAATAGGGAGAATGTAGAGAACAGTGGGAAGTTGTCGATAGTGGGGGGACTACGTGCCGCGGGTTCAGCAGGTTCAAATCACTGAGGGGCAATTTCGTCTTTTCACCAACATTTGCTATTTGCAATTTGAGACCGGGTCCCTCAGTAATTTGGCATATTCAGGTGACCATAGAGTGATTTTGCTAATTCGAGGGTCTTATTTGTGATTTCCCCTTTAAGATATTGAGTAGTGTTGAAAAAATACTTTAAAATGTGTTACGTGCATTTGATTTGTTTGTTTCAATTTAAAAATTGTTTGAGTGGGGATGGCATGGTGACTAACTAGGGGTGAGCATTCGGTTTTTCGGTTCGGTTATCGATAATAACCGAATTAACCGAATAACCGAATAGAGTAATTTTAAACACCGAACCGAAACCGAATAACCGACTAACCGAAACCGAATTAACCGAAAATTTCAGTTCGGTTAACCGATTAACCGAAATATATAATATGAAAAATAATTTTAAATTAAAAATAATAATAAAACACAATTATAACCATTAATTAATAAATATTTCATCATTCAATGTGATTTATTATAATAATATTTATTGAATATAAATATATTTAAAAAGTTCACATATACCCACATATATATTTATTATAATAATATTTATTAAATATAAATATATATATATTTATTTCGGTTATTCGGTTATAACCGAGTTTTTTTTCTACTAACCGAACCGAACACTGAAACTGAATTGTTTAAAAATAAAAACCGAATATATATAAAAACCAAAAACCGAAATTAAATTCGGTTCGGTTTGGTTTTCGGTTACGGTTCGGTTTTGCTCACCCTTATGACTAACCGTGGAATCAAATTTCAAAATTGTGTTTTAATGTTGTTTTATGGAACCGATTTGGGTAAGATGAGCACTCAAAGCCCATTCTATTTGGACTGTATAGATTTAATTTGGATGAGCTAGATTTAATTTTTTATATTTTTGTGTTTTTTGAAATAAAAAATAAATTTTTATTTAAAACAAATTAATTGAAAATACTAAGTCTGTACTGTTGAAATCAGATCTCCACGTCCAGAGCCAAACCGGTTCCGTCTATAAGATATTGCTCCCTAAAATCCTCCTCAAAATTAATTATAAATTATAGCCGCTCTTGTCTCGGAACAAGTAGGGAACTGCGAACAAGCACCCCCCAGTTCACGCTTGGTCGAGCTCGCCGTCAGACACCGTCCGCCTTTGTCAGCCCTGTGCGGTTTTTGTCGGGCAAGTATTGAAGAAGGTTCGAGCCCTAGGGCTTTGTCTACTCCCCAAAATACGGTGAGATTGATTTGTTGAATCTGTCTTTGAATCTAAATTTGAATTTATTCCCTGGGTTATCTGTTTCCTTCGTTGTTATCATCCCTGTGCCGGACGCCTTTTAAATTTTTCATTTTAATTTGGCTTTGAATCTGGTCGTATAATGGTTTGAATATTGACGCTTTTAAATAAAGGTTGATTTTTTCTTTAAAAAAGCTTTTATTACTAGTTTTTGCTTCAATGGTTTGTAACCGCTATTATACTTCTGCCCTCTTCATTTTGATTAGTAACGACTTATATGCTTTGGATTGTTTTGTTGTGCAATATTAGACTGTGTATTGGCATTCTGTTTATTAATCTCTTCATATTATCATCTATTTAGAAAATTCTCGAGGTATTTGTGATGCATGATCTAGTAAATGACTTGGCTCAAGTCAATTTGTAAGGTTGAGTTAAATTTGTCATTCTTCAGTGGCTTGGAGGAGTTACCTGAATCAATTGGCTTACTAAGGCATCTTTGTCAAAGTATTTGGTACAAAAAATATAAGAATATTACTCCTCCTGTCCTAAATGTAATGCCTATTTTGTAGTGTAAATTACACCAAAAAATAGGTCTTATATTGAGAACTGGAGGAGTATATCAGCTATTCATGATTAAAGGATTTCAGTAGGGGCATTGAGCTTAATCTAGGTCCGCCTCTGACCATGTCCCTGTTGGATTTGCCACGCTTTAGTTATACATGGACACTTAAGATCGATTCTCTTACATGCCACAATGACCTGTTTCCCTGCATTCCACATATGTTTCCAAATTCATAATCAAATTTAATGGATTATATTTGTGGAATATGACGTGGTTTCTTGAATTTGCTGTCATAGTAACTAGTAATATGGCAAAACCTTAGCTGCACGTGAATAAGGCAGAATTTACTTGGTGTTGCTGCATAAGTCAATCGGATTTGAACCATGTGCCTGAGTTTGGGGTGTGCCCTTCTATACTGTACTTGTATTTACGGACGTTCTCATTGTATTTTGTTGATAGAGGGATAGAAATTTCTAGACCTGGTTCAAGACTTTCAATGGACCAATTGGATTTATTTTCGACATTCTTGAACCATGAGCTTGTTTTGGTAGTCGTCTAAGGATAACTTTTGTTGTCATGGCTCAATTTACCCTCTTGAAAACGTTTTTCCCCGTCAGAAAAAGACTCTTTTTTTGGTGTCATCAAGCTGAATGCTGATGCAAATTCATAGCCAAGGCCTCTCTTTATTGACATAGAATGGTCTAGAAAATGCAAAGTATTTGAAATTCAATAGATGGCACTGAGGTAATTGTTTTAGTTTGTAGTGCATTAGCGTTAGATGCATATAAGTACAGGTATTGGCTTACAGATTGTAGTTATTTGACAGTGGGAATCAATGACTAAGATTTGGTCTTACAGAGCTCGAACATGCTAATGAAAGCTTGTTTATTATGTCCTTAAACATTGTTTCTGAAATTCTCTCATTGTAGTGTTGGATATAGCTTTTAACACTACTCATTCTCTGCATCTGTGGGTTAAAAATCAATTTTCATTTTCGACAGCACTTGGAATAGTAGCATAATGCTGTCAAAGGAGGCATCCATGGAAGTTGATGGTGTCCCATCTGAGCTAAAACCTTTGCCACCAAAGCCACAGTTTGAGCCTTTGAAACCTCATGAAATGTCTGACGGTCGGGTTCAATTCCGGAAGGTGTCTGTTCCACAACATCGATATACCCCTCTTAAGAAAGCTTGGATGGAAATATACACTCCAGTATATGAACAGATGAAAATTGACATTCGTATGAATCTAAAGGCTCGAAAGGTTGAGTTGAAGACGAGAAAAGATACACCTGATATCAGCAACTTGCAGAAATGTGCTGATTTTGTCCATGCTTTCATGTTGGGCTTCGATGTCATAGATGCAGTCGCCCTTTTGCGTTTGGATGAGCTCTATGTTGAGTCCTTTGAGATCAAGGATGTTAAAACCCTAAGAGGTGACCACTTGTCTCGCGCTATTGGAAGATTATCTGGTAAAGGTGGTAAAACGAAGTTTGCAATCGAGAATGCAACAAAGACACGTATTGTGATTGCTGATACCAAAATTCACATATTAGGATCTTTTGCCAACATTAAGATTGCTAGAGATTCTCTTTGTAGCTTGATCTTGGGGTCCCCAGCCGGAAAGGTATATTCGAAACTAAGAGCAGTTACTGCTAGACTGGCAGAGAGGTTTTGACCTCCTCTTTATCATGGCATTTATGTGAGCAACTTTCAGATCTATAGTTTTGTTCTTTCTTTGGGTGTAACCCCTGATTAGAGATTGAGTGTGCTGAGAGTGAGTTGTGGTATGGAAGCTTTGCTATGCATTAATGGCTGCTTCTTTCAATTTTGGATTTCTCTAGTTTAGGATTTTGACAATGTCTTATATGTCAAGTTCAAATTAAATTATAAATTTTGAGCTGATATTATGCTAATTACTGGCATTCCTTGCCCCACCAAATGCCTGTCGACATTATTATAATGTAGGGAAATGGCAATTTGAGTGATTGTTCCATTGCTGCTTTACCTCTTTGTGGAATTGGGATTTACATTCTCTATTTTATCTGAAATAAAATAATAATGTGAGTATTAAAATAATGAATAGTTTTGTCGTTGAGAGTGAGTTTCAATTATACGCTTTGGATGATGCTATAAGAATCAAGCTAAAAATCTGGAATTGAAACTCTACGGTTTTCGAGAATCACTCTAGCGGCCCAGCCTTTTGCTTTAAGTTCCTGGATCGGCAGCTATGATGAGATTTAAATTGGATTTGGAAATCTAAGGTGTGCATGTGTTTGGCAACCTTGTCAAAATCATTTTTAGAGCTTAAATCATGGTTTTAAGATTTAGGTTGCCAAACACCTAGTATTTATACGAAATCATGGTTTGGCTCCAAAACCATGGTTTGATCCACCCAAACCATGTTTCATGAAAAGCAAAAAAAAGTTGTTTTGGGAAAATGTGGTCTTTTTTTTACATTGTAATATTACTTCTAGTTGTTAATATAAGAGCTAGTTAACTAATTTGGGTAGATTAAAAAATTAGTTAAGTCAGTTATTTGTAATAAATATGTAGTATTTTTTTTCTAAAATAGTCTTTCTAATTATATGTACTAACTAGAAGTACCATTTGATGAAATATTTAATATGTGTAACTACTACAAGAACTATTTTAGAAAAATGGATAAATATAAAAAACAAAATAGAATAGGGTTTTATATTTAGAACCAAATTGAATATCAAAATAGCTCTTATATTAAAAATCAGAAGTAGTATGTTGTTAAAAAACTAGCTATAAAAAAATTTTATGGGATTTCATGTTTAAAATCTTTAAGAAAAAATATTATTTTTCAATTGGCAAAAAAATAATCATTTTTTCTGAAAACATATTTAATCTTATATTTTATAAATACATATACACATTAATTATTTATTAATTATATTACTTATATATTATTTATTATGTTGGCAAAAAAAAATATTATTAACAAATTTATTACTTCAAATAAAAATATATTATAAAATCTATATTTTATGTAATTATCATATTAATATATGTCTTTTTTAGTAATTTGTACATATGTAAAGTGCTTCTAATAACAACTATCCAAACACTTTTGCTTTATCAAAATCACTTTTTCACAAAATCTATTCTTCTAAAATCTACTCTCAAAAACCACTTTTTTTTCTAGAAGCTATTCTTCAAACTATGGTTTGGTTTTATCCAAACACCCTATTAGTTTTATTCATGCATGTTTTATCAAAACTAAGAAAAATCTTAAAATTAACTAGTTATGTTTTAAAATTTAACATTTCAGCTAAATGAATAGTAAAATAGCATGTTTATGTTACAAATTCAATGAGATGATTTGCAAATATGATAAGAGAAACTCTTCTTTAAAAATAAAACTAGAACAGCAAATTGATGTTATTGTTTAATGATTTGAGGATCACTGCATTTTGAGTTATGCTAAGGGGATGTTTGGATGAAACTAAATTATGGTTTGGAAAATAGTTTCTGGAGAATATATTTTATGAAAAAATGATTTTGATAAAGTGCGAGTGCTTGGATAGTTGTTATCAGGAACACTTTTTATATGTACAAATTACTAAAAGGGACATAAATTAATATGATAATTATATAAAGGATAGATTTTATAATATATTTTAATTTGAAGAAATAAAATTATTAATAAAATAATTTTTGGTAAGATAATTAATAATATATAAGATAATATAATTAATAAATAATTAATATGTATATATATATTTATAAATTATAAGATTAAATATGTTTATAAAAAATTATTTTTTTTCCTAACAGACAAATATTAATTTGCTTTAAAGATTTTAAACATGAAATTCGGTAACATTTTTTCACAACTAGTTTTTATAACAACATACTACCTCTCATCTTTAAGATAATTAATTAATTGTTACTATGGTGTAAAAAAATTTATAAAATATAAGATTAAAAATATTTTTGGACAAGATGAATAATTTTTTGTAAACAGAAAGGAAATGAATAATAAAAAAATACCGAAGTCAGAAGACAATATGACAACGTACTACCTCTTTTCTAGTAAAAAAAAAAAAATACCACCTTTGAACAGCGAAGGACCAAAGGAGGAAGATTGAAGGGCATCTGTGTCTGATTAAAAAAAAAAAAAAAACCATTTGGAGGGTGTTTGGCAAACATGTGAAAAGTGCTTTTGGAATCCAAGTCAAGGTTTGGTACCAAAAATAACCAAACACCCCCTTTTTTTTTAAGACTATGGTTTTGTCATGAAACCATGATTTATCTGATCAAAACTATGGTTTCACCATAAGCATATTTTTTTTGGGATTTTGGAATATGGCGGCTGCTGTAGTGTCAGTGACATTTTTTGCCCCTCACGCCTTTACATTGCATCTTCTTTCTCTTCCCTCACTTTTTTTTTTGACCGGTTCTCCTCCATTATTAACATAACGTAACATTTTTTTTTGGAATTCCTTTTTTCTAAAAATATATTTAATCTTATATTTTTTTAAATATATACACACATATTAATTATTTATTAATTACATTATGTTATATATTATTAATTATGTTGGTAAGAAAATATATTATTAACAATTTTATTCCTTCAAATAAAAATATATTATAAAATTTATCTTTTATATAATTATCATATTAACTTATACTCTTTTTAGTAATTTGTACATATAAAAAGTACTTCTGATAACAACTATCCTAGACATGGTAATGCGGGCTGGTGGTGCGGATACGGGCCAGCCCGTGACGATGCGGGCTAAAGTAGCCTGCTCGCCAGCCCGCCTACATATTCTTTTTTTTAAAAATAAAAACTATAATTATTAATATAGGTTGAGTTTAATTTGAAATGTTAAAATTAGGTTTCGAATCTTGAATTTGAGTAATGAATTATGATAAAATAAAGTGAAGATTAATTTATAATTTAAGAATATATTTTTAAAAACTAATATATTTTTTATAAATAATTAATTTAACTATTTTTTATTCAAAGTAATTTAGTTTTCTTATCCAAATTAATTAAGTAGATATTTTATGTATAAATTTATAAGTATCACATGTTTATTTAATTTTATAAAGGCTTTTATGGTGACACAATAAATAAATGAAAAATAAAAGATGGACGATGATCTTCGTATAACTACACACAAAATCACAAATATATAAAGTGTTTAATTACTTATACAATGATATGAAAGAAACAATGTTTAATTGTTCATGTGGAATTTGAGGAATTAAAAAAAAAAAGCGGGCCAACCTGCCAACCCGCAGGAATAGCTCGCACCTTGACGGGCTGGCATATTGCCAACCCGAGCCCGCCTTTTTTGGCAGGCTAATGGGCCCAGCCCCGTATTACCAACTCTAGACTATCCGAATATTCTCATTCTATCAAAATCACTTTTTCAGAAAATCTATTTTTTACAAAATCTATTTTTCCAAAATCTATTTTCCAGAAACTATTCTCCAAACCATAGTTTAGTTTCATCCAAACACTCTTAACACTCTCCGATTTTCTTCCCAAAAGCATATTCAGAACGCTTCTCCCCAAACCATGGTTTTTTATTTTGATCCAAAACCATAGTTTCTGAGTTTTTGCCCAAATTTTTTGTCCAAATCATGGTTTTGGCAATTACCTAGACAGACCCTAAATTTATAACCAAATAGGAGTTGGGATTGAGCTTCTTGTGAGTCAAACATTAATGTAAGAATATTAGAATTCAAAGCAAAGAAATGTTTACCGTTCCATTATGTTTTAAATGAAATTGTTTCCAATAAAAAAATATTTATCTCTTGCATGAAAAAAAATTCAAAAAAAATAAAAAAAATGAAACAAGGGGAATTATTTGGTTACATATTCTTAAAAAGAATTGACCTTTTGACTTTGTAGGATCAGAATTTTTTTACCAGAAATCGTCTCCTTTTTCATATCTATAGTTTGATCCGTCCGCCATTAATCAGACTTGGATTAAATTAAATTATTCGTGCTAATTTTTTTCATTTTACTTATAATCATTTTTTACGTCCCCATCACACTTATCCAAATCCAGATGGACTAATCTAATGATGCTATTAAGAATAAGCAAATGAATATTAGATAGATGTACAATTGAGAAACTGTAACCATCGCTAGTTCTTAACTTGTCCTTCACTAAGATCAAATCAAGGTGCTGGCATTTAACCCTAACCCTACTTCAATTCCCAAATTAAATTACATTACACGGTTTATATATACACACACACACACTTACATGTAAGATTTCACCAGGTCGCCTAATTCTTTCTTCTTCAACTCTCCAGAAAGGAAATGCATTAATTATTGGAGGCATCGGTGTTAGTAGAATAATATGGGCGGCGGCGCGTGATCGTAACGGAGGACGTCGGCTGAGTGGACATTCTCTTTGATCCTCTGGAGGCCATCTCGGAAGACGCCGAAGCCGAAGAGGAAGCCGACGACCAATATTAGCAAGAAGACGCAGAGCAAGAAACTGCAGCAACTTCCCCCCAAGCACATGTCTCGATCTCTTATTTCTCCGATTCGATTGGTTGGGGGAGGATTGGATCAGCCATTGTTGGTTCAAGCAAAGCTTTTAAAAGAAGCTGAGCGATTAGTGGAGGGAGAGCCCACTGGTAATAGCGTTCCGGCGTTGAAGCCGGCTCCGTCTCTTTCGCTCTCCATTCAAATTTCATATCCATTTCTTTTTTGTTTCTTTTTTTTTTCAGCCGAAAATATCCATTTATCAAAAAAAAATTTTAAAAATAAAAACAAACAAGAGTAGGACGAAAGGAGTTTAGAGTGAAAATTCAACGCAACAATTGGATCGTTAAGGATCAAGTTGAGATCTGGGATATTTAAATCCAATTTGGATTACCTAAATTTCATTTGTTTTTAATTTTGAATTTCTCAAGGAAGAAATTTATTTATTTCTAAAT